CGGGAACCGAACTCACGACCTTGCGCTTGCCAGGCAGGCGCTTTTGCCGCTGAGCTAAATCCCCAGCCCCTCTTTAGTATGATTAGCTAAGGGTTTGTCTGTTTTATTTCTGCCTTTGAAAAACCAGCTTTTTAATTCACTGATTCTTTGTATTTTTTTTTTTTTAGGTCTCCATTTCATTGATTTCTTTTCTGATCTTGATAATTTCCTTTCTTGTCCTAACTTTGGGTTTGGGCTGTTCTTGTTTTTGTAGGCCCTTGAGTTCCCTCATTAGGTTATTTGTTTGGACTTGCCCTGTTTTTCTGATGGGTAGTTCCCGGGTGTAAAGTTGCCTCTTTGCACTGCTTTCTTTGTGTCCCGCAGGTTGTGGTATGTTGTGCTGGCATTATCATTGGATTCTTGGAACTATCTCATTCCTTCCTTGATTTCTTCTGTCACCTGTTGATTATTCACAAGTGTATTGTTTAATTTCCATGTATTTGCATAATGTCAGTAGTTTTTTGGCCATTGATTTCTAGTTTCATTATGATCTGATAATATGCATGGTGTAATCTCAGTTGTTTTGCATTTATTTAAGCGTGCTTTATTGACTAGTATGTGGTTTGTTGTGGGGAGAGTATCGCGTGCTGCTGAAAAAAATGTCCATTCTGTTGTTGGGTGAAACACTGCAGAGCTCTATTAAGTCCATTTCTTCAAATGTTTGATTCACTCTGATGTTTCTTCGTTGATTTCTTTTGTCTAGTTGATCTCTTTCTGACTGTGGGCTATTGAGGTCCCTCACTACAATTGTGTTGCTGTTTATCTGATCTTTTATGTCCAGTAGAATTTATTTTATAAAATTGGATGCACCATTTTTCAGTGCATATATATTTAAGTTGTTACCTCTTCCTGTTGAATTGTTCCATTAATCAATGTATTGTGACCTTCTTTGCTTCTTCTGATGAGTTTTGGCTTAAAGCCCACTTTGTTGGAAATCAGATAGCTATTCCTGCTTGTTTGCTAGTTCCGATTGCATGGGATATTATTTTCCATCCTTTGATTTTTAGTTTGTGAATTTCCTTTTGGGTGAGATATGTTCCTCGTGTATAACATACCGCTAGATTTAGCCTTGATCCATTTTACCAGTCTGTGTCTTTTGATTGGGGAGTTTGGACCATTCACATTGAGTTATTTCTGAGAGATACTGATTTATTTCGGTCATTGCCTTATTTTCCTGTTGTTGATTCCCTCTTTCCCTGCTACTTAATTGCTCACCCTACCTAGTGTATCCATTCCATTGTCTCTTTCTGGGATGTCCTTGAGAATTTTTTAGAGTGCTGGTTTGGTGGTAATACATTTCTTTAGGTGCCTTTTATCATGGAAATATCTTATTTCTCCATCCATTGTGAAAGATAGTTTTGCAGGATATATCAGTCTGGGTTATAGACAGTTTTCTCTTATGGCTTGAAACACTTCCAAGCTCTCTAGGCTTCTGAGGTTATGTTGAGAAGTCTGCTGCAATTCTAATGAGTTTTCCTTTATAAGTGATTTGTTGCTTTTGTCTAATGGTTTTTAAGATTCTGTTGTATATTAGACTGCTGGGATTTTGACTCTGATATCTTGGGAGGTTATTTTCTGATAGTGGCTATTTGGGGTTCTCTGTTACACAGTGCAGCTCTCCTCTGTTAATATACAGAATTACATTGATTTATTTCCATATATTAAGCTGGCCTTGCAAGTTAATTTTCTAGGAAAATCCAATTTGGTTGTGATGTATTACACATTTAGTATTTTGTTGGATTTGATATGCTAATAGTATTTTAGTTGTTCACGATATTATAATATTCTTTTAATGCCTGCATTGTCTGGTGACTTCTCTTTCATTCTTGATACTGGAATTTCTCCGCTCTCTCTCTCACCAGCTTCTGGCTTCATTTGTTTTCTCTGTTGTTTTTTCTATTTCATTAATTTGTGTTCTTATGCTTGTTCTTTGTTCTTTATGCTTGTAGTGTAATTTTCACCTTTTTTCTAAATTCTCAAGATGTGAACTTTAGGCTTTTGAGTCTTCTTTTCTAATGTAAGCATTTAATACTGTGAATTTAGAAGTACTACTTTATTTACCACCCACATATTTCAATGTGTTTTTCCACATTCTCTAATAAATTCTTCTTTGACGTATAAATTATTTAGAAGTATACCGTTTACTTGCCAAATATTTGGAGAAATTCTCAAATGTATCTCTCTTCTGTTGTGACCAGAGAGCATACTTTACATATTTTAAACATTTCAAATTAATTGAGACTTATCTTACAGACTTTCACATGGTCTTCTTCATATCTTCATGAATATTCCATATATAAACTTACAGTGAATGTTACGCTGTTTTGGGTGGAATGTTCTATAAACGCCACTTATAAAAGAGAGCTGTCAAGATCGAGGTAGCTGATAGTATTACTAAAATTCATATAATTGTTAATTTTTTAAGAAGTCTGTAGTCTGTCAGAGAATGGTAAAGTCTAAGTACAAATATAGATTTCTCTGGTTTTGCTTTCATTCTTGCGAGTTTATGCTGTAATTTAGGGTCTATTTCTAGGTAGGTCTATATTTAGGATTGTTGTGTCTTTTTCATGAACTGACCTTTGTGAGCATTATTCAGTATCCACTTTTATCCTTAATAATATTGTTATGATTTTCCCTCTATATTGATATAACTACTTCAGTTTTCTTTTCATTAACATTTGGATGGTAAATATATTTCCATATTTTTGCTTTTAACTTATTTATGGTCCCATCTTTTTTTTTTTTTTTGATTTTTGGTTTTTCTCCGGTACCAGGAACCGAACTCACGACCTTGCGCTTGCCAGGCAGGCGCTTTTGCCGCTGAGCTAAATCCCCAGCCCCATGGTCCCATCTTTTGATATATGCTATGTAGTTTTTCCTCTGATCCTTTAACGTAGTAACCACAATTACTGTAAAGGCTTTGTCACAAAATAGCAACACCTGAATCATCTCTGGGTCTGGTTTCTTAACACCTACAATAACTTAATTGTCTTGAAAATTTTTACTGGGGATTGATGAATATTATTTATGCCTAGAAATGGGCAGTTCTTCTCTTCTACTTCCTGTAAAGGATTCAGTCATTCTAGTCGTTAGTTGAGCTAGGCTTGTTTTTTGTGGGACTGTAATTGCCTTCACTGTGCCCCTAACTTCCGCTTTCTTTATCGGTTCCCTGTCCTGATGTGTGAGCACCGTGTGCCTGCAGTGTGCAAAGCTTCCCCGCCTGGGTTCTTGCTCTTCTTCCAGCGCTTGCCTCTCCATGCAAGACATGGAGTGGGGTCTGGGATTCTCCTGCCCTGTCCTCAGTCCTAGGTGGCCCTGTGCCTGGCCTTCAGAGCTGGAGCGCTCTCGGTGCTTCCGTCCCTGCCTGTGTTGGCAGCCAGCCAGGCTTGTGAGGAGCGCTACACCAGCCCTCCAGCAGCACACAGCTTTTGCTCTCCTTCTTCCTCCAGTGGCCGCTGATCTTCAGCGTTTCCTCCGCTCCCCAGGCAGCCGTGGCTCTGTATCGCCATCGCCGTACTGGGGATGGACAGGGTGTCCATTCTCATTAGGGTGACAAAGGCCAACATCTTGTTACTAGTTGAATACCCTGGCTATGATCATGATTTTTTACAGTTGCCTGCATGGTCTGCTTTCATACCAGACAGTTAATCAGTCTTGAAGAAATAATGAACAAATCTTTCTGAAGAGTGAGTTTGTGCTTTGAGATAACCACAACACTAAATGCACTGACATTTTAGAAGAACTCTTTATTTTATTGGCCCAGACTGTGACACAAGGACACTCACTTCTGGCTGAAGTTACGTGAGTTGTTTAAAGTGTGAGGCTAACCCCATGTATTTCCTGATGTTTCAGGCATCGGTGGTAATCTGGTGGCCATTCAGGCGAGCAGGATTTCTACCTACCTCCACTTACACAGCACCCCAGGAGAGCTGCCTGAGGAACCCAGAGGTTGTTACTACCCGTGCAGGACTTTCTTTGGTCCAGGTATGTGCTTGGGACTTCTGCATGTTTTGTATCGGGAACTGCTGCTGTCTGAGACTGTGGGCCGACAGCATTCATCGTGTACAGATTTTGTAATGCTGCCAACTCCTCTATTTCTGAGAGCTAATCTCAATGAACAGAGCTTCATCCATGGTGGTTCTGCAGTGACTGAGGATCTGTGTATAATTTTTCTCTTTCATTGCTCCCTCTGGGATGCCTTGTTTTGTAAGTCAGGAAAGAACAACCTAACACACATACAAACACATTGCTAGGTGGTTTGGGGAGAGAGATGTACTCTTTTTCTATTTTAATGTTTTTGGCCATTCTTTTTAACTTTTCCTTCAGTGCTGGGGATTGAACTCACGGCCTTCACACTGAGCTACATTCAGCCCACCCCTACCTTTTTATTTTGAGACAGAATCTCTCTGAGTTGCTGTGCTGCTCCTGCCTCAGCCTCCCAGCGTCAGGCCCAGTGTTTTGTTGGACTCTGTAAATGGAAGCATTAGATCTAAACATTTGGACATGGGACAGCATGGGCTGGAAGGGTCAGTGTGTCATTTCTGTCAGCCAGGCACATGACTACCGAGACATAGCAATTTTTTTTTCGGTGCTTGGAATCGAATTCAGGACCTTGTGCTTGCCAGGCAGGCACTTGTGCCACTAGGCTGTATCCCCAACCAGAAACATAATTTTAGACCTCATAATTCTTACCACTTTTTCTTCCTGATGGAAATGAAATACAATTATTGACTTTGGAATGAAGATCAGAAATGCTCCGCCTTGATTAACATATTTCAGTGCTTTAAGAACTTTGTATTTTCTCTTTTACCTTCCCTTTATTTTTATGATCAACATTAAAGTCCATGCTTCTTGGCCTTTTGGCTAGATCAAGTGTAACATTAAAGTCCAACCACTGATCTTCATAGCAAATTTTTATCGTGTACCTTTCTCATTAATTGTAAATAATTGCAACTTATTTTTAGCAACTGAACTTTATGTGATATGCAAACTACATAGTAATCCTCAAATCTTAACAACATTATTATTAACCAAAATATGCTTTTGTCATAATGACTTTTACGTTTCTCTTGCAGGGGTAAATAATAAATCTGCCCAAGTTCTACTGCTTTTAGTGATTCCTGGGCATCTGATTTTCCTTTACACTATTCACCTGATGAAAAGCGGCCACACTTCACTAACAGTGATCTTCGTCGTCGTGTTCTTGTTTGCTGCTGTGCTACAGGTAAGGGGTAAAATCTCTTGGAATTAGTGGGGTTGCTTTGCTCAGAGTGCTGTGAAATTGTAACTGTGCGTCTAAAGGTAGATGCGACACAGCGTCCCACCTCAAAACTCCACTGGAAGCCTCGGTGTTGGTTTGGCCTTGAGACAATCCCCTCAGGACCACAGTTCCTGCAGTATATGGAAACTTTGGACTTTCCACTTCCTGGAGGCCCTGTCTTTCCTTTTCTGGCTGTCTTGTTTTATATGAATATAAGGCCCCATAGAGTCTTTTTTGGGCAGAGGGGAGTGTACCGGAATCATTTGGGGATATTTTGCTGTTGTTGTTTTGGGTGATTTCGGTTTTTGACACATTATCTCACTATGTAGCCCAGGCTGGCCTCAAACTCACTGTGATCCTCCTGCCTCAGCCTCCCAAGTGCTGGGTATGCATGTATTTTGTCTGTTTTGTTTGACTTTGTCAATCTAAAAACTCATTCTTCACTTCAGGGTGCATTTCTTGGAATTTAAAAAAATTATTTTCTCTCTTCTTTCTTTCTGGAATCTTACTTGGTTCCTGAATCTCTTGCATTAAATTTCTTGCCGTTTCTTATTTTGTATTTCCTTATCTCTTTTTCTTGTCATTCTCTGTTTTTATCCCTTCTAAATAGTTTCTCTTGGTGTAAAGGTTTTTAATTTTAAAATTTAAGAAAATTTCTTTCACTTTTCAAAATGTGTGATCAATATAATACATGTTCAAATATTTAAAATTAAGTAATACTGAAAGGTCCTATCTTCCCAATTCCATTCCTCAGAGATAATCACTTTGAAATATTTTAGCTGTAAGTTTTAAGGTAACATGCCTGAGCTTCAAGTTTATAATTAATCCTCTTTAGTTTTCACTACTAAAATTGGTGGCTTTATAAGGCTTTATTTTTCCCATGTAGTTGTATCACAACTTTTTGCTAAATTGACTGCAAATGCCCTTGTTCTTAGGCCTCTATAAACATTATAATAGAGGCAGTTACTTTGCTGTGGTTGTATTTCTGTGTTTTGTGTTTTCTTTTTTTTGGTATTATTATATGTTTTCAATTATATTATTTTCCATAAACCCATCCCTAATTTTTCCAACTGTTAGAACTTTTGAGTTCTTGGTCATGACTTCCTGCTCAGCTTTGTAGCTTTGGTACCTTCTGCAGTGAGAAGTCCCGATCCTTTGAGATGGCTTAAAGTAATTCTCGAAGAGATTGCATTGAACTTGGCCTTGAAGTGTTTTGACATTCAGTAATAAAACTAAAGAGCGGGTATTTGGACATTATTCCAGGTACAAAACTGCATGGATGGTAAAGGTGTTAATGGAATTACCTGGCATTCTTCTTGTTTCTTGTGTGCTAAGCACTGTTCTGAAGGCTTTCCGTCTATCAATTCACTTAATTTTCATGAAATACTATGAGAGATGTGTTCTTTTTTTTCCCCTTGGCAGTGCTGGGGACCAAACTCCTAGCCTTGCCCATGTTAACCAGACACTCTACCACTGAGCTACAGGTAAACTTTAAGAAATCTAGGTGGAGGACCACAGCATGAGGAAGTAATCCCAGTGCGATGTGATACAAAGGCAGCCCATGGCTGGGTATCCGGTGCTTACAGAGCTTGGAAGAAAAAGCAGCGAACTTTGTCTGGGGAATGTTTCTCTCCCGTTCAGTAGAGACCACACTTATTTCCAGCACTGTTCACTGCTGGCCACTGTGGCATATGCATGGTCACTAATTATCACTTACACGTTGCTGCTCTTCTCTCTCTGTAAGTGCTCTGGAAAAGGTGCTTTCCTCCATCCTGTGGGAAATACTCAGAGACATCTTTGGTCTGTTGACAAGCATGCCATTTCGAGAGCAGATTCCTGTATATAACTCTGCCTCAGCCATTGTTTGCCACTTACATTGTAGTTCTATGCCACATCCTAGCGTGCAGCATTTCACTGGCATTGGGGAAGAAAGCATCAGTAATTTTTCTGAGTCTGTACAAAGATTAGCTTTCAGTCTGTATTCTCAGTAAACTTACATGCCTCTTTAAACATCTGGCCTAAATGCTCACTGGTGCAAGCTGGAAACCTGGAGTTGAGGAAGAGTAATGGTTAGTCCCTCTGGGTCTCACTTACTCCTCTGTGAAGTTAGAAGAGCAGTAGTATGTAGTAAGCTGTTGCTTTTTCTTTTTTGAGACAGGGTTTCACTGTGCTGTTCAGGCTGGCCTTGAACTCACTATGTAGCCCAGCCTGGCCTCCAACTTGCAGCAGTCCTCCTGCCTCAGCCTTCCAGGGGCTGGGATTACAGGCATGTGCCACCACGCCTGGATCATTCATAAACTGCTTTGAAGATTAATGAGTTACTTATACAACATTTGCTTCATAGTAAGAGTTGGTGAGGCTGTTGGCTTTGAACATGGAATGTAAGGGGTATGCACTGACTTCAGCATGCCAACTGAGCAAGTTTTCTGATGGTCTTTTGGTGATTATTGGTTTTCTTTTGTGTGTGATACAATCTTTTTAAATTAAGGTTTTAAATTTCTGATGTTAGCGTAGGAGTTAAGCATAATGCTAATTTTGGTCCTATGGCTGTTTCTCAATTCAAGTAAAATGTCAACTTGAGTTTGAGATTGTTTGAGATTTGGAATGGTAGAATTCTTTTATTTTGCCATTGGTATATAATATCTCTTCTTATAAAAACTTTTTAAAATCAAAACCATTACTTATGTGCAAGGGTTGTTCTCTAGTAGTTCATCTCCTGCCTTTGACTGATTAAGGAGAAAGAGCCCAACAAAATTCTGCTGTGAGACCTGTGCCTTTTTTTAGCTTGCTACGCAACTAAACTGAACTCTCAAATAGTCATAATTATTCACTAAATGACTAAATTTTTTTTTTTTTTTTTTTTTTTTTTTGTCTTTTTGAGACAGGGTCTCACTATGCAGTTCAGGCTGGCCTCAAGCTCACTTTGTAGCCCAGGCGGGTCTTGAACTCACAACGATCCTCCTGCCTCAGTCTCCCAAGTGCTGGGATTACAAGCATGTGCCACCACACCCGGCTTAAAAGACTAAATTATTGACTTGCTGACGGTGGGTGCAGTCAAAGGCGCAGCCTGGGCTGTGAGTCTGAGACAGGGCGAGCACGCTCACTGGCTTCGCCAGGGCCCTTCTGCCTGGCTGCAGCACCTCTCCAGCGTTGGGCAGAGGTGCAGTCCTCGGCAAGCAGTGGAAGCCTGGGACTCCTGATGGCCTCTTGAGGAAGGAAGGCGCAGCAGCTCATCCGGGTTCAATTTTCTACACGATTTAAAGCCTCTTCTAGTTCCCCTTTGTGTTAGAAATCCTAGCTGTGCTTCCTCTGTCTGGGAAAAGACAACAGCATCAGTTTGGGTGCTATATCTTGGACAAACGGAAAGGAGAATAAAGCGACTGGCGGGGTGACCTTAACTCTGAACAAGTCTGCTACCATTCACATTTTATTATTTTCTAATCCACTATTGTTTCACTCATTTAATTAAAACCAAAACCCCTTTTTATGTTATAATTATCCATGTATTGTGATGATTATAGGTACATATGGACTATATTAATGTTTCCTGGTATAAAATATTCCAGTGGGAAAGAAAAACGAGACTTTTCTAGCCCTTGCTGCCTATTGAATTCCAACAAAGTGTTTGCTCTTTGGTAAACAATGACTTGAAATAATTTGTAAATGAAAATTTTAATTCCCTATTCTAGAAATTCATTGTTTCATAAGTAAATTAGATTATTAAGAACCCTGCTAAAATTCTAAGAGTACCAAATTCCATGAAAAATTTATTGTGAAACTTTGGTTGTAAAAACCTAGCTATTGTTTTTTTGGTTGTCCCTAGCTATGTCAGTGTTTTGGGGAAGACGAAATATTTCTTTTAAAGTTAAAATGACAATAAATTCTCAATATACAAAGTTGAGAAACATAAATACCACAGCTTTATTAGGTAGTGCGTGAGTCAGTGCGTAAAGGAAGGAGTAGACGTTGTCCCTGCCTGTAAGGGTCTTGGCTGTGGGTGAGACCTCGGTGCACGGGACAGCTAGGGAGAGCCTAAGACTTACCTCCTGACAGGACCAGCTTCCTTCTGTGGTAGTCACAGGGTTAGACTCTGCCTGTGTCTAGCTTTCATTTCTTTGGTTTTGAGATTGCCCCTTGCTATGCAGCCCAGGCTGGCCTCAAACTTGAGATGATCCTCCTGCCTCAGCACCCCCAGGGGCTGGGATTGCAGGTGTGTGCCATCACACCCAGCATGACTTCGTTTTTGGAAGGTAATAGATTTTTTTTTGTTTTTGGAGGAAGGATTAGAGTGAAAATTTTATAACAGCTTAAGAGATTTGAATAATTATCAGGAAATATAAAACTTGCCGTAGCAAAATAGTAATACTGTATTTTTATTATTTTTTTTTTTTGGTACCGGGAATCAAACTCACAACTTCGTGCTTGCCAGGCAGGTGCTGCACCACTGAGCTATATCCCCAGGCCCTATAATTTTTAAAACAGAAATCTCTTTAGTTTTTGTTACTGCTGCCTTTCAGAAAGTAATTTTTAAATTTTAGCCCTACGCACAAATTGCATTTATATTTCCCAACAGACTTACATTTTGAAGAGTTTCTTAGGAAAGCCCGAGCCTACCTTAACCAAGCAAATAAATGCCCCTAATAATAAAATGTATAGTCACAATATTTACTAATAATTTTTAGTGTTTCTGTTTTATAAAAATAAAAATCCCTGGTCGTTAAAATGCCCATTTCAGTACTAATGCCGCGCAAAGCTGATGGTGCAGATAGGATCCGCACCTCCCTGCTCACCTCTGGGAGCTTGCGGGTGGGATGAGGACAGTGACCCTTGTGCTCACAGAAGGAACAGCCACGGGATCTTAGCTGTGAGCCTGCACCCACAGGATTTAGTGCCATTAACTATAAAGACATAAAAATAATGTTTTCCACACAAGAAAAATATTTCCAATGGTGGTTGCAGTCGCA